AAGGGGGTCCCAGAGTTTTCAGCCTGAAGACCAGCGCATCTGTGAGCTACATTGGCTTGGCATCTCTCCCAAGATGGCTCCTAGACTCTCTGGAAGTGCCCTTATTCACACGTGTTTTTATGTTTAAAAATGACAGAGTGGTACCAACTCTTTCCTAACCCACTTTTCTCTTGCCGCAGTGTGTTGGTCCAGATGTTGGTCCAGATGGGATCTAGTGGGAGGAGTCTCTCTGACTCCTGTGTTCCCCAACTTCTCACCACTTCCCAGATAAGAGGGAGAGAGTTGGCTGTTTGGGGGTTTTGGGGGGATGGGAATCCATTTGTGCAGACAGATTATGGCCTTGCAACGTGCCCGGGCCCTGCGGCTGAGCTGGGGCTGGCCTCTTGGGGCTAAGAGCAAGTGATGAGAAGCCAGAAACATTTTTTAAGCCCCAAACTGCTAAGGAGACAGGGTGATGGATTCAGTGGGAGTAGGTGCCTTTGGGAGGCCTGCCAAGTTGACCTCCGAGCAGGGAGGCATGCTGGGGGCTGACAGGACTGTGCGCCCAGGAAAGATGGATTGGGGAGCAGAGGGCTCGGGAAGCCTATGGAGGGACGCCTCCACCTGGGCTGGGGTGACTCCAAGGAGAAAAATCTCAACATTTATCTTGGATTTATTTATACCCAACCTCTTCCTAAAAGGTGTTACAGCAAACAGCTTTCCACAAAGGACAGAAGCAAAAAGGGCAAGAACCTGACAACAGAAAAGCAGGACGATCCTCACGTGAGGTGGGACCACAGCGCAAAAGCTCCTCTCTGGCCTCAGTCCCGGGAGTGGGTCGAAACAGGGAGTGGCCCCAAAGGGGCAGAGAAAGAGGACAGGATCTAGAGGGAAGTCACCTCCAGATCTAGGCGGCTCCAGGTTCTCCCCTCTCTCTCTCTCTCTCTCTCTCTCTCTTCTTTCTTTCTTCTTCCTTCTTTCCTTTCTTTCTATCCCCCCTCCTCCCTTCCTCCCTCTATCCCCCTTCCTTCCTTCCTTCCTTCCTTCCTTCCTTCCTTCCTTCCTTCCTTCCTTCCTTCTTTCTGTATCAGAGACCGTGGGGGTCTCTATAAACAACTACAGAAGTCACCGTCACTGTCACTGTCCTCCCGTTGTTCATCGATTTTCTCGAGCGGGCCCAGTAACGTCTCCATTGTGACACTTGTTACTGTGTTTGGCATATCAAATGCGTCACGGGTAGCTTGCCAGGCTTTGCGGTGCGGGCGAGATACTCTCGGTAGCTAGCCGGGTTCTCCGAGAGGGGTGGAGGAATTGAACCCAGGTCGGCCGGGTCAGTTGTGTGCAAGGCAAACGCCTTACCCAGTGTGCTATAGCTCCAGCCCAACCCCAGAAGTACGGACACTTTTAACGTGTCCCCAGCCAACCCCCTATCCCGACAGGCCTGTCTAAAGCAATCAGAGAAGTGACTGGCTGAAGTAAAAGACTTTTCTGAAATTCCAGGGATCTTAGAGGTCGCGTGGGCAGTGACCCAGCAGTGAGAATATGGGGTGGGCTCTGTGGCCCTGAGCAGGAGCACTGTGAGGGGAGCAGCAGTGAGGGGCAGAGACACGAGGCCAGGTGCAAGGAAGGTCATGAATGTGGTTCCTGACTTGATTGCTTTCTGAGTCTTTCTGACTTACTGCTCCGGCTCAGTCTTTCTGCTAAGATATTCTCATATTCTAGCCCCTCTGTCCAGGAGGCAACCTCCAACCATCCACCCTGCTTTTCCCTTTCGCCGCTGTGGTGCAGAGACAGGGCCACACACCTAGTCCTGATGCTCACGGGGTATCTTGCGTGTGCACACATGTTCCCTTGTGCCCCGGTCATGGTGTGGTGCTGGCAGGGGCCCAGCCCCTCACTGTAGACAGCGCAGTCAGAAGCCACTGGTCCTGGGGCTCTCGGCCATCTGCCCGTGGGCTGCTGTCTGCACTGAACCACCTCCCAGCGCCCTCCGGGGACCCTTCCCCTCGATCCTCCGTGCCTGTACTCCAGAGAAGTCTTCCCTGAAACCCCACCTACCGTCGGTGGGCCCAAGGGTCCCTGGCACCCGGCTGACTCAGAGCAATGATGCTGTGGTCGGCGGCGAGCCCAGCGCCCCTAATGAGAGCTGCCCACGGGCAGGGGTCGGCAACTGGAGGGAACTAACGGGGACACCCCACCGTGGGGCTGGTGGAGATGTCAAGGAGGAGAAGGTCCAAGGGTGCAGGTCCACGGTGGCAGTGTCAGAGAAGACGCCGAGAGGCCCCCTCCACCCCCGCCCCCCACACAGACGCCCAGACCGGGTGCTAGAACACCTGCAGCTTTATTGATTGTAACAATCGTGTCCGCAACTAGAGGTTACATTGGGGGCTGGGGGTGGGCGAGGGGCAGAGGGACGACAGAGGCTGGGTGGAGACAGAGAGCAAGGCAAGGGGGTGAGGCCGGGGCTGCGGTTGAAACAGCCCGCATGCCCCTCCCCCGTGGGGGGTCTCCTGTTGTGCTTTTACTGTGGTGGTGGGCGCCAGGCGGGCGACTCGCGCATCTCAGCCCCCCTCCCCAAAGGCAGGAGCTGGCTGGGCTGCCAGGCCAAGCGACCTGGGCAGAGATGGCAATTATGGGGGTGGTGAAGGGGCCGGAGGAAGGGCCCCCCGGAAGTGAATGCAGGCGATGTGGGCGGCGGGTGGGAGGCAAAGGCGGCCAGCACTGGGTTAGGTGGGGTCCGAGGGCTCTTCTCTAAGGGGAGGGGGTCCCCAGGAGGGAGGGTTCCTCTGCCCCAGCACACACTCCCCCTCACTCTCACACAGCCCTCCCAGGACCCTCGCACCCACCCACACCCGGTCTCAGCCACACACCCACGCACACCCTCACGCGCCTGCATGTGGCCCTCACAGACGCCAGTGTGGGGGAGGGGGCTACCCTCACTGTGGACTTGGGGAAACTCCTCGAGCCCAGAGCCCAGCCAGGGGCTCTCGGGAGTGTCCGGGCAGTAACACCCGGTCTTCCTGGGCAAAGACTAGGGGACCCCTGCCCAACTGTCGGGAAGAAAAGCAGGGCTGTTCCACCCCCCCCAGGCCCTCCCACCCTTTGGACGGCACCCTCAGGGTGGGGGGGGAGGGCAGCTCTTGGGTGGGGCGGGCAGAGGTGGGAGCAGGCGCCTGGAGAAGGAGACAGAACCCGCCTGGCACCGTCGCCCCGCCACCAGCCCGGGCTGCCTCTGCCAGACCCTTTCCCCGCCAGCCCGGCCTCCCCCCTGCACCCCGAGGAGCCTGTTCCCCAAGGTCCAGCCCGGGACAGCCAGAGGCCGGGGCAGGGAGCACAGGCACAAAGGCAAAGGGGGCAACGGCCCTGGCACCACGTCACACAGTGCCACGACACACACCACACGGAAACGCACCCTCACGCACGAATGCAGACTCACACTCAGACACCTCATCCCACACACACACACACACACACACACACATGCACACTCATGCACTCCCATGGACACACAGACACACCCGGCCACCTGGTCAGGGCGCCCCTCCCTCAGCACCCCTGCCTGCAGCCACATGGCCAGGCCCCTCTCCAGAGTGCCCACGCTTATTCCCCAAGGGCCCTGTGGACACGGGGGAGGGGGAGGGGACGAGGGCTCCCGTGGGCAGCAGCAGGCGAGGGACACATGTGAGGGGTGGACAGCGGGAGCCGCCTCGTCCAGGGCCCTCTGGGGGGCTTTCATACGTTCCATGGCCAGGCTGAGCCTGTCCAGTGGATGCCAAGGTCGGGGTGGGAGCCCCTGGCTGAGTTCCCCGCTGGGCAGGAGCCCCCCCGCGGCAGAGCCCCGTGCTGGAGGTGCTCACAGTCTGGCTGGGGCCACAGGCCTGGACAGTCGAGGGCCAGTGCCTGGGCCAGGGAGGCCCGCTTAGGGGGTGGCCCTCTTGGCTCAGGCTGCTGCTGCTGCTGACCGCCTGGCAGGACAGGCCTGGGAAGCTGATCCTGTCTGCTGTGCTCTCCGTCTGCCCAGGGAATGCTCCAGAAGCGCTGTGCCCCCAAAGGTGCTCGGGCCCACGATGAGCACTGTCACCCAGCGCGAGGGGAGGGTGGGCACTCAGGCAGGCTCGGCCCGTGCGGTCAGCACCCCACAACGATGTCTCCCTGAGGCCACACGCGCACACAGAGCGTGGTCTAGTCAGACAGCCACGGCACCTCACTGCCCAGCCGCACCCACAGAGCCACTCGGACCCACACGCAGCACGGCATCCCACACAGCCTCGACACGTGCAGGATGCCGCATCCCAGGGCCGGGCTCCTCCCTACCGTGGGCGCCAGTCTGGGGTCCTGGGTGATGCTGACAAGGGGGTCTCCAGCCCAGAGCCCAGACAGGGAGGCGTCTCCTAGCTCCCAGGGGAGCCCAGTGACCAGCCCAGCCCCTGCGACCCAGCTCCGTCTCCCTGCACAGCCCCCTGCCAGACTCCGTCTCACGCCAAGGAGGAGAAACAGGCTCCACACCCTGTGCAGGGACCATATGGGTGGGAAACGCAAACGTGGGGGCTCTCCTCTGTCTCCAGCCAAGCCTCCTCAGGAAGTGGGGGACCCTTCTGCTGCCCCCCATATGCAGCCCCCCGGGGTGCGGCCCTTCGAACCAGGGCTTGTGGGGTGGGGTGGGGGCAGGGGGGGTGGAAGGGTTCCAGGTTCAGCCTGCCCAGGCCCAAGGTCCTGCCTGGATCCCTCCACAGGGTGGACAGGAGGGGCAGGCCCAGGAGCAGGGAGGGATGTGGGGTCTCCACCGTCCAGCCCTCGCCCTGGGAGCACAGCGGGGGGGATGGATGCTCCCCAGTCCTCCACAGGCATGGGGCACCCACAGCTCCTCAAGTTCCCCCCGCCCCTCCCAGGAAGTCCCAGAGTTCAGTCCAGGGCGGGGCCGCCAAGTCGGCCTCCCTCCTTCCTGCCCGGGCCTTGCGCGGGGCTGGGGCAGGCGGGACACACCCCATGCGGTGGGACAAGCAAGGCCTGCGTGGCGCGGAGTCCCAGGGCTGGCCATGCCCCGTCTCCGCGGTAAAGAAGGTGCTGGCAGGTCAGATAGAAACTTGTGCTTTAATAGGTCTCTGTGTGAGAGTGGGTGTGTGAGTGTGTGCGTGTGTGGTGCGGCGAGCGACCATCCAGGGCCTCGGCGCCAGGCCTCAGTCCTTGTCCTCCACTGTCCTCTCCGCTGCTCCGGGAAGGCCGGCCCCGCCCCGGGCACCCGCTGCCGGGGCTCAGTCTTTGGTTCAATGCAGACACTTTGGTGTGCCGGGGCGGGTGGCCACGCAGCGCTCATCATCTCTGCAGGGCCACGAAGAAGATGGCCACAGGCCCCCAGAGCTGTGGCCGGGGTTGGACGGGGGCTCCGCTGCCCGGCATCTCCACCACTGAGGCAGGAGAGAGGGGGCACCACGTTAGCGGGACAGCCGGAAGGGCAGGCCAGGGGCTCGTCACTCTGTGCCCTCTCACTGGGTGCCCGAGGGTAGATGCTGTCCGTGCTCATGCACACACACACACACATGCACACACGTGCACACACATATGCATACACACAGGCACACACAAGCACACACAGACATGCACACACATGTGCGCACACACACGCACACCCATGCATGCACACAGACACACACACACACGCACACATGCACACATGCATACGCATCACACACACATACACGCATGCATGCACACACACGCATGCACAATTTCACACACATACATTCCGCACACATAGGCATGCACATACATGCACACACACACCACACACGTACACACATGCACACACACATACACACCATACACACATACATGCATGCACAACTTGCACACACGCATGCACACATTCACACACATGCTGCACACAAGGCACACACATGCATGCATACATGCACATATGCACACACATGCACACACACATGCACACACGTACACACATCACATGCATGTTCACATGTACACACACGCACACACAGGCACACGTAGGCAACACACACAAACACATGCATGCACACACGTGCACACACACCACACATGCACACACATATGTACATACATGCACACACAAACTCACACACATGCACACACATAAAAAACATGGGCACACACATGACACACACACACCAATAGAGCAGGCTGAGAGCAACTCAGCCTGTGGGGGCCAGATCGGGCTCAGCAGCTTAGTAAGACTTGAAATTACTTGGCCTCATGGGATCTCAATTTCCTCATCTGTAAAATGAGTCTGAATAGTCTAAAATTGTCAGAGTATCCCCCGAGACTATTGGGAGGATGATATGAGCTCGGTCCCCTGCCCAGGGAGGGGCCCTCACTCCCATCAGCCTGCATGACCGCTCTCAGCCACGCCCCAACCTTGGCAGGGACCGCCCTGAAGGCAGGCTGGGTTCCCTGTCCTGGGGATCGCCCCCAGAGGGGAACGGGGCCCCAGGTGTTCCCACCATCAGACACAGCCCCCAGAAAGCCTCTCACAAGCCAACACCCTGCCTCCCCCTAGAGGTGGGCACCCACCCAGGCCCCCGCAGAGGCGCCCCTCGCCCCCGGGCACCTTTATTGGGATCCGTCTGCTTCCGGGGGCACTCGCCCTTCCTCAGAGTGACGTCGTCTATGGCAATGTCGCCCAGGTAGCCTGAGCCTCGAACTCCCTCAAAAATAATCTGGGGTGCGGAGACAGGGGGAAAGCACAGGGCAGAGCGTGAGCCAGGCTTGTGGCCAGCCTCGTCCCAGCCCCCTTGCACTGTGGGTGCAGTTCCGAGGTCCAACTCGCCCAGAGAGGCCGGGAAATCTCCCACACCGGAGCCCTCCACAGCCTCAGGCCCTAGCACCGACCCACTGGCCAGGAGGCGCCAGAGAGACAGTGGGCAGGGCACTCGCCTGGCATGCATGGAACCCGGGTTCAATCCTTGGCATCCCACGTGGCCCCTGAGCCTGCCAGGAATGGTCCCTGGGTGCGGGCGAGAGGAAGCCCTGAGCAGTGCCAGCTCCCCAAAACAAAGCACAAGGAGGGATGCTGGGGTTCCTGAGTGCTGCGTGCGTGGAGGACCCCCAAAGTCCCGAGATGAACAGGGGAGAGCGGGGCTTAAGGACATTCCAAAGGGCGCCCCAGTCTCCCCATCTACCTGGAGGACCCCCCCCCATCTTGCCCTGCTGTTCTTGCTCCCAGAATCCTCTGGGCCACAGAGCGCACAGGGTTGGGGTGCCCGGGGCCGGGGGCAGCTCACCTGGAAGGGCCCGCTGGGGCTGATGGGCACCTGGGCCTGCTGCCACGTGTTCCCCTTGTTGCCGCTGAGGGACCAGGCGTGTGTGTCCACAGTTCCTTTGCCCCGGGACCGCACCAGGAGGTTGAGGGAGCCTGTGGGGGTGCAGGGAGGGGGCCGGTGAGTCTGGACCAGAGCCCCATCCTTCCACATTTGCCCAGACTCCCCCCCTCCCAGCCTGTTCCTGGTGGATGGGACCTTCCCTCCATCCCTGGTGACTTCAGTGTCCCACATCTGGGAGAGAGAGAGGACCGTGGGAGAATGTGCGTGCTTCCTTTCTTCCCTCCTTCCTCATCAGCTACTGCCCACTGCCTCTTGTAGTTGCCCCCCCCAACGCCCTGCTTTCATCAGGGGTGTTGTTCTGGGGCAGTGGGGTCTGTGTCTGACACAGTGCAGCATTCTCAGAAAAGCAGTATTCTCAAAAGCAGTATTTGATACACAGGGAGGTTTCTGGATACAACGGAGAAATGGAGTTAAAGGGGTTTTTTGGGGGTGGTGGTGAGGTGGGGGCATACCTGGCAGTGGGTAAGGCTTATCCCTGACTCTGGTCTCAGGGATCAGTCTTGGGTGGCCTGAGACCGTAAGAGGCGCTGGGGACTGACCCTGGGTCAGCCGCGTGCAAGGCAAACACCTCACCCTCTCGACTGTCCCTCTGGCCCTGTTACTTTATTTTAATTTAATTTTATTTTACTTTTTTTCTTTTTGGGTCACACCAGGCAACGCACAGGGGTTACTTCTGGTTCTGTACTCAGGAATCTCCGCAGGTGGTGCTCAGGGGACGATATGGGATGCTGGGAATTGAACCGGGTTGGCCGCGTGCAAGGCAAACGCCCTACCCGCTGTACTATCGCTCTGGTCCTCCACACTGAATCTTCTGGCTCCTTGAGCTCATCTCAACGGATGGCGGAGAAACCGCGAGAAGGCGGGACGCTGAGCAGTGTGTGGACGGAGGTGACAAGGGAGCCGCGGGCTTCTCTGCATGGCCATACCTGCAGTGCTTGGGATCACACCCCGGAAATTCACCCCAGAGCCACCCGCTGTGAGGGTCTCTCAGTGGCAGGAGGGTGAGGCAGGAAGGGGTTTGGCGCACCATGATCTGTGCCATCCCAGGGTCTTTCCCAGCATGAGGCAAACATGCCACTACACACTACAGATCTCATTGGAAACGGTCACTTCTTAGAGAGGGTCTGCGAAGCCGGCGCTGGGCAGACCACCCCCACCCAGCCGCCTTGGCCTGCCTGCTGCAGAGGGCGTGTCTCCCCATGGCCTCTAGCCCCCGCTCCGTGTGCCTGATCTTCAATGTCCTCTCGCTCTAGTCTGGAGCGCCAAGGGAGCTGTGTCCAGCGCCTGACTCGGGAGGGGAAGGATGTGACCCCCAGGCCAGGGTCATCTCTCCCCAGACGGTGCTCCGTCCACTCCAGTGTGCACGTAGGAGCAGAGCCTCCCCAAATCCGTGCTCACAGAGCAGCCCCCCAGTGCTTCAGGTGTGGGGAGTCTGACTTGTGGGGTGTTGCTGTATGCTCTTGGGCCAATGCTTAACCTCCCTGGTTGTCCGGTCACTCCTCCTTCATCGGACAGGTGTGGACTATGAGGCCATTGGGAGGGCCCCCGACATCTGCAGGCCTGATACACACCCTTGCTGGGCAGTTTCCTCCATCCAAGATTTCCATCTCGGACGGAAGACAGAGTCCAGGGGTTAAGACTCTTGCCTTCCATGCGGCTGATGCCAGTTTGGTCCCTGACACCACATATGGTCCCCCCACTCCCCCTGCACCACCAGGAGTGATCCACCAGCACTGTAGCACTGTCCTCCTGTTGTTCATCAATTTGCCCGAGTGGGCACCAGTAACGTTTCCATTGTAAGACTTGTTGTTACTGTGTTTGGCATATCGAATACGTCATGGGGAGCTTGCCAGGCTTTGCCGTGTGGGCGAGATACTCTCGGTAGCTTGCCGGGCTCTCTGAGAGGGGTGGAGAAATCTAACCCGGGTTGGCCGTGTGCAAGACAAACCACCAGATGTGGCCAAAAATACCGAACCAAACCGAACCAAATTTCCATCTCATCCTGCAGGGCCATCGTCTGCTGAATCAGGATGCTTTGGTCACCCTCAAATCTCACACGAGTCGGCTCAGTACCTGCCCATACCCATCTTAGGAATCTGGCTGCACTAAGTTGGGAATTCAGGACCCCCATGGCCAGAGCCTGGCCTTCTCCCTTGGGCACAATAGCTGCCCCCGCCCCACTCACCGATGTGTTTCCCGTACATGTGGTAGAAGAAGGAGACACAATAGAACTTGGCGCTGGCGTTGTACAGGGGACTCACCAGCCGAGCGCGGTCCCCCAACTCCCGGGGCCTTGACGTCTCGATGAACATGTAGTAACCTGTAGGGGAGCTGGGATGCACCACCAGCCGCCTCTCTTCTTCTCACCCAATTCTCCGTGTGCTTCCCTCAGCTGTCCCACAGGGTGCCTCCTCCTGCCCACCCCCCAGCCCCTGGCTTCTCTGACCCAACAAGGGAAGTCTGCGCCTGTGTTCAGCCAGCACTGGGGGAGAATGGGAGTCTCTTCTTCCTGACACCCACTGGCACAAGGCTGTGTCCCCTCAGACTGGGGCTCCCTGAAGATGGGGCTGTGTCCCCTCAGACTGGAGCTCCCTAAGCATGGGGCTGTGTCCCCTCAGACTGGGGCTTCCTGAGGATGGGATTGTGTCCCCTCAGACTGGGGCTCCTTGAGAACAGGGCTATGTCCCCTCAGACTGGGGCTCCCTGAGGACAGGACTGTGTCCCCTCAGACTGAAGCTCCCTGAGGATGGGGCTGTGTCCCCTCAGACTGGGGCTCCCTGAGGACGGGGCTGTGTCCCCTCAGACTGGGATTCTCTGAAGACGGAGCTCAGTCCCCTCAGATTGGGGCTCCCTGAGGATGGGGCTTTGTCCCCTCAGACTGGGGCTCCCTGAGAATAGAACTGTGTCCCCTAAGACTGGGACTCTCTGAGGATGGGGCTCTGTCCCCTCAGATTGGGGTTCCCTGAGGATGGAAATGTGTCCCCTCAGACTGGGGCTCCCTGAGGACAGAACTGTGTCCCCTCAGACTGCAGCTCCCGCAGGACAGGTATGTGTCCCTTTAGACTGGGGCTCCCTAAGGATGGGACCGTGCCCCCTCAGACTGGGGCTCCCCGAGACTAGGCTCTCCTGAATCAGTCCCCCAATCCCTGGGAGCGGGCCATATGCTTACCCTCAGGGGTGCCACTGATGTCAGTGGGAGGGCCTGTGTTGGGGGAGCGCTTAGGGTTCTGGGTGAGGGCATTCTGTCTTGTCCAGTCAAAGTTGTCAGTCAGGTCCTGAGTGTAGCCACAGATCTTCTCGTCCTCAAAGTGACAGGTGTTGTCTGTTTTAGGGTGGGGGAGACAGAGGATTCACCTCCTTAGACACCCCCAGGTCCAGTTTCACTTCCTGGGAACCCCTGAGACAGCTCCCCAACATTTAAGTAGTCAGCCCTGGATTCCAGGCTTTGAGACGCCTCAGGGTCCTGACACATTTATTCCTCAGACCTTGTTTATGTCACCTACCATTCTGACATCTAGTGAAGTTATGGACACCCATATCAGAATAGTGATTTTAGACACATACAGTGAAATACACAGGATGGCAAAGGAAATCAATTCTATTGAAATACAGTTGTCAAAATGTTTGGAAAACCAAACTGCGCACAGTAAAGGAGCTTCTGTATTAACTAATTAAACATCACACTATCTAGTGTCAGGCCTATTACTACAGTTTTGAAAACTAATGAATGTAAATTATACGTCAAGCTGCCTGTGCTGACTTTAAGGCGGCGTGAGAGCACAGCACTTCCAGCAAGGGCAGAGATGCAGGAACTGACTCTGCCTCCGTGCCTGCACTCATCACTGGAGAAGCTCAATCCATGCAGGAGGTCAGAAAACCTAAGTTTAGGTTCTTGAACCCTCTGAATTCACAAAAAATGTCTTCTGCGAAGGGGTGTCAGTGTATCTTAGATGAAGAAGCCCAGTCCAAGGGTTAGTTGTATTCGGGCTATGTGATGGGTGAGGATGAAGGTCTGTATTAGAACCGCACCCCCCTCCCCTCCCTGCCTAGAATAAATCCTAGATAAGCATTGCCAAGCCCAGCCCTACCCCTCTCTGCGTTTCCTCCCAGAGGCTCGCTTCCACCCTACTTTCTCTCTGGGTGTCTCCTGGGCCCTTCCTCCAACCAAGGAAGACTCTGTGTCCCTAAAGGGGAGCGGAAGTTCTGGGGAGGGGCTCTTACCTGCCAGGTTGGGAGAGTTGACAGCTAGGAAAGCCAACAGGAAAAGCAAGTCAGAACCCAAGCTGAGGTGACGCGGCGTGCCTGGGCTTGGGGGCCAGAAATGGGGGACCCAGATGGGGGCGGGGAATCGGGAGGCACGGCTTGGCCTGCAGAAGACACCACACCGCGGGGAGCCCCGGGGGTCCATGCGGGGAGGCTGGAGGGGGTCCCCCGGACACGAAGCGGGCCCCCTTCCCCCCACCACATACGCTCTGTGTAGTGGATGATGCGGGAGGCCAGGTCCCCGGCCCCGAAGGTGGTGTAGGGCGTGAGGCGGACCTCGTAGCTGTGGGGCACGCGGAGGTCGGTGAGCAGGTACTCCAGCAACTGCCCCTTCTCCACGCGCCGCACCGGGATGGCCTTGACCACGGCGCTGTGCTGGTTCAGCTGCAGACACAGGGGTCCCAGATGCCAGGCAGCCAAGCCGCCACCCGGGGAACCAGCTCATGCCCCGGGGGACCCGAGTGGGGATTGGGGCGGCACTGGGAAGCAAAGGCAGCAAGGACTGGAAAGCCAGCCTCAGTTTCCGCGCCTGTCAGAGCGACCGATCCCTTTGCCGCCTACCTTCTGAGAGGCTTTTCAGTAAAAAGTGACTGGAACACATACTGAACCACACATGTGTGCTGAGCACTGTGCTTTGCGGTTATTAAGTAATTTAATCCTCCCCGTAATAATTCGACACTACAGTGCACTGTAGCACTGTCCTCCTGTTGTTCATCAATTTGCTCAAGCGGGCACCAGTAACGTCTCCATTGTGAGACTTGTTGCTACTGTGTTTGGCATAACGAATATGTCATGAGGAGCTTGCCACGCTTTGCCATGCGGGGACTCTCCAAGAGGGGCGGAGGAATTGAACTCCGGTTGACCGGGTCGGCCGCTTGCAAGGCAAATGACCTACCTGCTGTTCTACCGCTCCAGCACAATATAAGATAGAGTGTCAGAATTGCTCCCATTTTACAGATGAAGAAAACAAAGGCCAAATAGATACAGTTTGCCCAAGGCCAAGAAGCGCTAGATTCTAGTCTAGTCAGTCTCTCTCAGGGACCCACTTACTTTTCCTGTGTCTCAACTGCCCATTGGGCTAGGCAGAAATGGACTAAACCAACCGGAGGAGGGGCTGGAGCAATAGCACAGTGGATAGGGCGTTTGCCTTGCACGCGGCTGACCCGGGTTCGATTCCCAGCATCCCAGATGGTCCCCCGAGCACCGCCAGGAGTGATTCCTGAGTGCAAAGCCAGAAGTAATCTCTGAACACCGGCGGGTGTGACCCAAAAAGCAAAAGAAATAAAAATAAAAAAATAAACCAACCGGATGAAATCAGCGCAGTGGTTTATATTCCAGACATCCTGGGGCCCCCTAAATCTCCTGACCCAAGAGGGGGTGCTGTGCCCGTGAGTAAAGCTGCTCCCTCCCCCCACTTCTCACTGCCGTCCACCCCGCCTGGACAGCTGGACGTTCCCCGAGTCTCGGCCCACCTGGCGGACACTGAGCCTGTAGTTGAGCACGGGGTCGACTGCGTCGGGCTCCCGCTGGGTCCACTGCAGCACGTAGGAGTAATTCTTGGACATCCTGTGGCTGCGGGTGGGGTTGGGGGTGTCGAAGTAAAACTCCGGGCTGTAGGCTTTGGCTGAGAGGGTGGGGAGCAGGGCACGGGGCCAGGGTGGGACAGAGAGTGGAGGTGGGGGAGTGGGGGGGCAGAAGAGGATGGGGGCCGGGAGAGGGAGGGGAGACAAAGAGAAAGGAAGCAGTGTGAGGAGAGGTGACGGCGAGGGGGAGGAGGGGGAAGGGAGGGGAGGGGAGGGGGGAGGAAGAGAAGGGAGGTGGGCGCATTCCCAGAGGCACATTGGAGAGACCACCGGAAGGAAAGGCAAGGGAGGCAGGAAGAGCAACCGGAGAAGACAGGGTGTCGCGGAGAGATGCAGGACAGAGGATTGGGGAACACACAGAAGAGTTGAGGACAGTGAGGTAACAGGAGGAGCAGAGGGGGAGAGGGAGGGGGCGAGGGGAGGGGAGGGGTGGGGAGAACGGTGAGGGGAAGGAGTGGGAATGTCACAGGGGCCGTTGGCTGATGGGGCTGAGTGCGTGTGGAGCGGCTGGGGAGGCAACCTGAGCCCTAGCACACACACACACACACACACACACACACCCGCTGCTGAGTGGAGAGACAGGGGCAAGCGCTGAAGGTGCCCAGTCCGTTGGGGTGAGGTGGACCGGGGATGGGGGTCCTGGCTCTCTACTACAGGTGCTGCCATCTGCCCTGGCAGAAGCCAACTTTGCCCCGGCAGAGGACGAGAGAGGGGGTCTGCCAGTCCATAATGCCCCTCTCAAGCCCTCCACTGTCACCACAGCCTCTGGCTTTCCAGGCCTCTTCCCCCTTCAGCAGCCCCAGAGTCCACCAGAAATGGCGTGAGGAGGAGATGGGACTGTCAGGATCTCTTGGGCGCCAAGGGGCTGCAGCCTCCCCCTAGGATGTCAGCTCTGGAAAGGTGAGCGACACCTCACACCCGCAGTGTTCCAGGGAAGCTGCCCAGGGGGCCTGCGCTTCCTTTAACTGCAGGTCAGGGTCCTCGCCTTGGATGATGGAGCCAAGAGATGGAGCTCTCCTGCTCCAGAATCTAGGGTGGCGCTTAGGCCCTTGGGAGAGGCCTTGAGGGAGCATGGGCCAAGGTGGAGGGACGTAGCCCTCTAAGGGGGGGTGTAAGAGAAAATCTTGGTTGGATTCGAGAGGAATGGGTAAGGCCTGGGCTAGGCAAGGGGAGTCTAGCAAGGCAAGGGGGGGCCTATACTAGAGCAGGTGCAGGAAGGGGCGGGGCCAGGCTTGGGGCGGGGCGGGGCCTAGGCTTAGGTGGGGCGGGGCCAGGCTCAGGAGGGGCGGGGCCAGGCTTGGGGCGGGGCGGGGCCTAGGCTTAGGCGGGGTGGGGCCAGGGTCAGGAGGGGAGGGGCCAGTCCCGGGTCAGGTGGGACCAGGCTTGGGCGGGGCGGGGCCAGGCTCAGGAGGGGCGGGGTCAGTCCCGGGTCGGGTGGGACCAGGCTGGGGCGGGGCGGGGCCAGGCTCAGGAGGGGCGGGGCAAGTCCCGGGTCGGGTGGGACCAGGCTGGGGCGGGGCAGGGCCAGGCTCAGGAGGGGCGGGGCCAGTCCTGGGTTCCTGGGTCGGGTGGGACCAGGCTTGGGTGGGGCGGGGGCCAGGCTCAGGAGGGGCGGGGCAAGTCCCGGGTCGGGTGGGACCAGGCTGGGGCGGGGCAGGGCCAGGCTCAGGAGGGGCGGGGCCAGTCCTGGGTTCCTGGGTCGGGTGGGACCAGGCTGGGGCGGGGCGGGGCCAGGCTCAGGAGGGGCGGGGCCAGTCCCGGGTCGGGTGGGACCAGGCTCGGGCGGGGCGGGGCCAGGCTCAGGAGGGGCGGGGCCAAGCTTGGGGGGCGGGGCCTAGGCTTAGGTGGGGCGGGGCCAGGCTCAGGAGGGGCGGGGTCAGTCCCGGGTCGGGTGGGACCAGGCTTGGGCGGGGCGGGGCCAGGCTCAGGAGGGGCGGGGCCAAGTTTGGGGCGGGGCGGGGCCTAGGCTTAGGCGGGGCGGGGCCAGGGTCAGGAGGGGAGGGGCCAGTCCCGGGTCGGGTGGGAACAGGCTTGGGCGGGGCGGGGCCAGGCTCAGGAGGGGCGGGGCCAGGCTTGAGGCGGGGCGGGGCCTAGGCTTAGGCGGGGCGGGGCCAGGGTCAGGAGGGGAGGGGCCAGTCCCGGGTCGGGTGGGACCAGGCTTGGGCGGGGCGGGGCCAGGCTCAGGAGGGGCGGGGCCAGTCCCGGGTCGGGTGGGACCAGGCTGGGGTGGGGCGGGGCCAGGCTCAGGAGGGGCGGGGCCAGTCCCGGGTCGGGTGGGACCAGGCTGGGGCGGGGCGGGGCCAAGCTGGGCGGGGCGGGGCGGTGGGCGGGGCGGGGCGGTGGGCGGGGCTAGGCGGGCGCCCGGCCGCGGAGCTCACCCGAGACCTGGAAGAGGCAGGAGGCAGAGCCCACGTCGTTGGAGATGCTACACTCGTAGCTGCCGCTGCTGTCGCGGGTCACGGCGTCCAGGCGGAGCTCGGAGTGGTCGGGGGCCTCGGCGGCGACGGGGACGGCGGGCGGCGGCGGCAGCAGCTGCCCTCGGAAGCGCCACACGGCCGAGGCGATGCGCTGGGGGCTGCCTCGGAGCAGCGCGCAGCGCAGCAGCACGGGCCGGCCCAGCGCCTGGCGCACGTCCTGGGAGCTGGGCTCCACCTCGGGCGGGACTGCGGGGGGGGGGGGGGGTGCAGGTCAGCGGGGCCCTGCCCGCCCAGGGTCTGGGGCAGACCTGGCTGCGATCCCTGGGTGGAACGGCCGCATTCCTTCCTGCGTCTGCAGGCCAAGCTGGGTCTGACCCGTCCCGGAGCCTCCCCGACCCACTGCCCGGATTCCCCCCGCGCTTTTGCTTCCCGGGCTCCTGGGCAGCACAGCCCCACCGCAGCGTAACGACCCCTGCGTCTGGCTCAGCTTCCAGCCCCCGCCTGCCTCTAGCTGCAAGACCGTGCGCAGGCTACTTGTCTGTGCCTCGGTTTCCCTGTCTTGGGAGGATGGAATCCACTCGCACGACTGGAAGGCGCGCACTCGGGTCCCGGAGGACAGTGCTCCGCACGCGGTGACCCACTCTCCCATTTCCGCTGATCCCGACCGGCTAGGGCCCGGCGCGGCCCTGGGGGTGGGCACGCGCCGCGGGGCGGGGCGGGGCGGGGCGGGCGCGCGCCACTCACACTGCACGTTCAGCTGCACCTGGGCCTCGCGGGGCCGCACGTTGAAGCCGTTGTAGCGCGCCGTCTGGCAGCGGTAGGTCCCGCCCATGTCCCGGCTCACGCGCTCCAGCCGCAGCCTCCCGTCGGGGGTCTCCAGCGGCGCCGCCTCCTTGTCCACGCGCGCCCAGAGCACGGGCGGCCGCGGCTTGCCACGCACCTCGCACTGCAGCTCGGCGGCCGCGCCCTCGCGCACGGTCACCACGGCGCGGCCCCGGGGCACGCTGATGGTGGGCGGCACTGCGGGGGGAGGGGCCGGTCAGCGCTCCCGCGACCCCCACCCCCACCCCGCATCGCCGCCCGGGCATCGCTAGGCATCACTCCAGCGGGGCATGGGGGACCACACGTGGTCGTCCGCGCTCACTGGCTGCTTTCAAGGCGAACGCCTGCACCCCAACCTCGGGGATCCCACCCTATTTTTCATGTTACTATTTTTGTTTTGTTCTGCATCACACCAGACAGTGCTTGAGGCTTACCCCTGGCTCCCTGGGGGCGTTGGGGGCCACAGGGGGCATCCAGGCTGGCCGGGAGCAAGGCCAGTACCTCACTGCTCTGCGTTTCTCTCCCTCAAGGGAAATCCCAGCTTTATTTATTTATTTATTTATTATTTTTGGGTCACACCTGGCAATGCACAGGGGTTACTCCTGGCTCATGCACTCAGGAATGACTCCTGGCGGTGCTCAGGGGACCATATGGGGTGCTGGGAATCAAACCTGGGTCAGCCACGTGCAAGGCACACGCCCTACCCACTGTGCTATTGTTCCAACCCTGGGAATCCCAGCTTTAAATGGCTCTTCTAAAAATCTATCCTGGAGTGTTCATGCCCCCCCCCCCCCCGCCCCCGGGGATTACCCCGGCACCCTTCCCCCCCTCCCAAGTAAGAGGGTCCTGGGGTTATAACAGCACGAGGCAGACCCCAGGTTCCCAGGCTGGGACCAGCAGCCACGTTTGGGCCAATGGGAGGAAGGGAGAGCGTCTTCACAGGGAGTCTGTCCTCTGGTCTGTGGGCTGGGAGGCAGATGAATGCCACCATGGCTGGGGTGCTGGAACGAGCTGAGGACCGAGGAATAGCAAGGCAAGGTGAAGCCGAACAGCAGTTCCAGCCCTGGCTCCTGGCTTCACACTGTCGGGTGTGACCCCAAAAACCATACTGGGGGGGGGCAGAGATAGCACAGCAGGTAGGTGCTTGCCTTGCATAGAGTTGACTGGGGTCCAACCCCTTGCACACCATATGACCTGATCCCCTGAGCCCATCCGAAGTGATCCCTGAACACAGCGCCAGGAATAAGCCCTGAGCACCGCCAAGCGTGACCCCAAAACCAAAAATTAAAACAAAATAAGAAGACGTTTGGGGTTGCCACCCCACATCACTTCAAAGAAATGTAAATGGGGGCCGGAGAGATAGTACAGTGGGTAGGTGTCTTGTACACGGCTGACCAGGGTTTGACCCCCGGCATCCCATGTGGTCTCCCAAGACTGCCAGGAGTAATTCCTGAGTGCAGAGCCAGGTGTGGCTCAGAAACAAACAAAAGAGAAATTTAAATGTCCTATATTTAAATAGTTTATAAATAACTCTATCTAACAAGGCAAGCAGAAGTCCAGCTATTTAGTTGGCATAATTTATGCTCTTATAATTTATACATCTGTTGGCTTTAATTGTGCCATTTCTGCTTCATAGCTTGGAGCCAATTATTTCTAACTACTTCCAGGTCTAACCATTTCCCCAAACCCTTAAAATGTTCCCATGGCCCAGACATCAAGCCCGTGGCAAACGAAGGAAAGGCCTGGAGCTCCCTTTCATTCCTCTGCTTCTAAAACATCCCAGCCCCCAGCCTCCTCACCCCACAGGCTAAAGGGCTGCTTCTCCACAGCTCTGGCTCCGAAAACAAGACCCCCCCCCACACTGCCCACCCACCCACCCACCCCCGGCTTCTGCCACCTCCAGCCTCACCTTCCTCCTCCCCTCTGGAAACCCAGTGGTGGAATCTAGACAGCCTAGTGTCCTGCATCCTGGGGGAGGCCTGTTCTTCTCTCCTACTCCCTCGCCCAGGAAAGGCTCACGGGAGCTCCCAGAGCTTTTTCCCGACTCCGGGCAGCTGGCGCTCTGCTCCCGGACCTGCTTTGAGGCCTGCTCTTCCCCCTCCTGCCGAGGCAGTGGGCTCTGAGCACAGACAGGCCTCTGCTGTTCACATCTGGGCCGCACTGAGGACCCAGCACACACATTTGCAACGTAGAGTTGTGGGGTCTGTGGGGGCAGCACAGACCGGCCTTCTGAAAGCCTTTCCTAACACCCCAGCTTTCCCTAGCCCATCCAGAGGTCAGGATGAGAGGGGGCGCTGAGCCATCCAGTCCAGCCTCTCACAGAGGAGAAACAGCCCCAAGACCTAGATTGGCTGCCATCGCCCCAGTGTAAGGTGCTGGGGGCTGGAGATGGGGTGCCAGAGGTCCTTCCTGGGCTCTTCCATCCAAGCCCTGTCCTCTTCAAATGGGGCAGGCTCTGATGTCTGACTGTCTGGGTTCAAATCCCCACTTCACTGCCTATCACTGTGTTGCCTTAGGCAGCACTGTGGCACTGTCCTCCCGTTGTTCATCGATTTGTTCAAGCGGGCCCAGTAATGTCTCCATTGTAAGACTTGTTACTGTGTGTGGCATATTGAATACGTCACGGAGAGCTTGCCAGGCTTTGCCATGCGGGCGAGATACTCTCGGTAGCTTGCTGGGCTCTCCAAGAGGGGTGGAAGAATTGAACCCGGGTCAGCCGGGCCGGCCATGTGCAAGGCAAACGCCCTAGTTCTGTGCTATCGCTCCCGCCCGTTACCCTCTGAATCTAAGTCTCTTCCTCTCTAAAATGAGAAGCTGAATGATCTACCCCGTTATGTAAGGCACAAGGGTGAATGAGATAACTATAAAATCATCAGAACACAGAGCAAGCACTCCATAATGTTAGCCATTATTATTTCATGGCTGCTATTTATTGTTCTTGGAATAAAGACCTAACCGTTAGCTTAACCTGGCCCCCGACCAACCTCTCTTCTCTCCTCTCCATGCATCCTCCAGGTCACCCCCTTCTTCCTGCAAATTTCTGGATGACCATGCACTTTCCTGCCTTAGGGCCTTTGCACGTGCCTTTCTCCTCTGGTGTCCTTTACTCTCCTTTTTCTAGAAAAACCTTGCCCCTCCCTCAGGTCCAGTACGCGAGCTCAGGAAACTCCTGATTCACAGGTGTCACCATTTGCAATGACATATTTGTGAGGGAGCTGAAACATACTTGCCTCCCACCAAGCCCAAGGATGGCAAAGCTTGTCTGCCCACCCCTCGGCCCTGGTGGCATATAATAGGCACTTAACCAGTGTTCCCAGCAGCTGCCACCCCTCGCCTCTGTGGGTCCCCAGCCAGCACCCTCGGGCCTTGCCCACCTGTCTCAGAGGAGATGTTGACCTCGACACTGAGGTCAGGCACGGGCGCCCCCGGGAAGGAAGCCACGCACAGGTATGTGCCATAGTCGCTGAAGTGCAGGTCGATGAGCTCGAGGCTGCTGGTGACAGCAGGCAACTCAGGGTCATTTCGGGTCACCAGCAGCCTCTTGGACATGCGTGCCGGCTTGCCGTTCTTGAACCACTGGTAGGTGACCTTCTCCTGGGGCACCGCGTCCACATGGCACGAGAGCTTCAGGTCCTGGCCCAGCTGAATGTTCTCGCTCTCCTTGATCACGTCGGGGGTGATCTGGAACGTGGCGTTCTTCATGGCTGGGGGAGGCGAGGGGAGAGGGGCTGCGGCAGGTCCAGTGCTGGGTGTTGTCCCACCCAGCTCCTCTCCCCACCCCACCCCCCACCCCGGGCCGCCTCCTCCCTACCAGGAGAAACCATCACTCTTCCCTGCGTGAGCCTGCCCGGCTGGTTCAGATGCTCTTTCAAAAGTTCCCCAGAAGCTCACTGCAGAGAAGTGGGCTTGGGAAACAATCACTCCCCCTTCCAAGTCTGAATTGATAATAATTAGACCAACCAGACACAGCGTGAGAGCCTGTCTGAGCATGCCACAGGGGCTCACTCACCTGACCCAGCCCACGACTTCTGAGGGTGACACTTTTTTATAGTTCCTAGTTTACAAAGGAGGGATTTCGGGCTCAGACTGGAGATTAATTATCTGGCCCCAAAGAAGTAGCAAACTTTAAATTCAGATTCAGAGCCTGCACTCTTAACCACTACACCGCTTGGATTTATTGTGGCTTTAAACCTTGAATGTGCAAACTATAAATCTTGGACAGAAGCACCAGAACGTCAGAGTGATTCTATCTAGATAATGGGGCTGGGATCTGAGGGGAAATTCTGGCTTGTGCCTTTCACCCTTTCCTGCTGCCTAACTCGAAACACCCTGACAGTTTGTGGCCTTTCTAAAGGAATGACCAATATAATCATCTTACCTGTAGTTACATAAAAGCACAGTATTTGGAAAGAAAAGAGTCCTTTCATTGTTTTTGGTGGGTCAAACCCAGAAGTTCTCAGTAGCTTCTCCTGGCTTTGCCTGGGATCACTCTGGGGGAGACTCAACCCAGGCCTCCCCCATGCAAAGCAGGTGCTCAGCCCACTGAGTTATCTCCCTGCTCTTTTTTTGAAAGGGTCTTTTTTAAAAAATTGCATAATTTATGATGTAAACTGAAAGCAAGCTTTTAGAAAGGAGGGGGCAACCAGCTGTGTTCAGGGCTTACTCCTGACTCTGCTCAGGGATCACTACTGGCAGGGCTTGAGGGACTATATGAGTGCTGGGGTTTGAATCTAAATTGGCTGCTACAAGGCTAGCACCATATCCACTAAGCTATCTCTCTGGCCTCAAACCTGGATTTTTGGGGGCTGCTCTCTGTGCTCAGGGATCACTTCTGGATGGGTTCAGGGGACATATGGAACTCCAACCCAGGTTGGCTTGTGCAGGGCAAACACCTTACCCTGTGTAATATCTCTCTAGTCCCCAGACATGGATCTTTAAACAAATATGGGGGCATGACTACAAGATACTGTAGCTCAGGCATTCGCCTTATATACAGCTGACCTTGGTTCCATCCCCAGCATCCCATAGGATCCCCCAAGCACTGCCAGGAGTGATCCCTGAGCACCATTGGATGCAGCCTCCAAGCCAGAAGAAGATCATTTTTAAACCACATAACCACAACTGCGCAAGCAGAACATGAAGTTTCTTTCTGAAAGCAGAGTGGCGAAATTCAGACTGCACAGAGCAGCTAATGCTGCCTCCCGAGGCGGAGGCTTAGTAAGGAAAGTATAAGCACTCCTTTAATCAGACTCCAGCTTCTGATCACGTTATAGACACTGACATGTTTTGCTAGTTAAGACATATGGCATAGGAAGTCTTTGGGCATACATGTTGATTTAGTCACGTCATTCTCATAGAAATCTTCACAAGGGACATAGCCGGGAAGCACCTCTTATAGACTGGAATGCCCACTCTGAACTCTGCTGCAGTCTCAGCTGCTCAACCGAAACATAAACACCAGCAGCCAACACCAGCCCTTCCTGCTTCTAGAATTGCTGAGATGGCCGGAAGGACCTGGACGCTGTGGCAATAAGCTGTAGTCCTGTCACCTGTTGGAGAACACCTGAATTGCAGGGAACTCCGAGCCCCCAGAATACCCCTGGGGGCGGTGGGTGGGGGAGTAGGGAACAGGAGCCTCGCAGACCCTACCCTCTGCACTGGGGGATCTTACAGGTAGGGCCCCTGCTGCCCCCAGACCCCACCCCCTGCAACCACGTACAGCGCACCAGCAGGTTGACTGTCTTCTTGGCCGGGTTGCCCACGTTGTTGGTGGCCGTGCAGTTGTAGTAGCCAGAGTCGCGAGCCTGCACCGATGGGATGCTGAGGGCGCCCCCCTGGGCCAGAGCCCCCAGGGGTAGTGGGCCGGGCCCGTGGGACCACTGCAGCTGGGGGAGTGGGTCACCGCCCGTCAGCAGACACTGAACCGTCACATTCTCCCCAGGGTTCACCACCAGAGTCTCGTTCACAGACAGCTTCAGGGCTGGGGGCGCTAGGGTGACATGGAGTGGGACCTTAGGTCATGACAGGGCTGGCGAGGGAGGCGGGGGAGGTGGGGGGGGAAGCAGCCACAGGGCTGTACCGGTGGTGTTGGTGAGCCGGAAGGTGATGGCCTTGTCGGGGATGCCGCAGACGTTGCGTACGGACACCTGGCAGGTGTAGCTGGCGTAGTCTTGTGGCCGCAGGTTCTTCAGCTTCAGGACCTTGGTCTCCCCCTGGGAAGCACAGACCAGGTCCGGGCTCCACGCAGACCCCCGCCCAGGCTAGCGGGGGTCCTGCTGGAACCCTGGCCATTGCTTGCCTCCCCCACACCGCTCCCTGCACTTGGGGACTCAGCCTCCGAGCATGACCTGGCCTCAGTTTCCCCGCTCTGGGAAACGGAGTGATCTAAGGGACCCTGTGACATCGGCGAGGTGGCTGCGCGTCCTGACCTGGGTGTAGAGCGGCTCGTAGATGTCCACGCCGTTGTCCTGGCTGTGGGACAGCGTGTGGGAGCCCCGCTTCCAGATGAAGCGGGCGGGCGGGTTGGAGTTGACCGTGCAGCGCAGGAACACCGTCTTCTCCTGGTAGAAGTTGCCGCGCACGTCACTCACCGTCTGGTGCACCGTCAGCACCGGCTCATCCAGGTCTGCGGGCACAATAGCAGGTCAGGGCCAGGGCGGCATGGGGTCAGGCCAGGAGGCGTGGGCTCAGGCCACCCTCCCAGCACACTGGGCTGCATGGGGGTGGCAGAGGCTGGGCTGGCGGCAATGGGGCAGGGTGGGGGACACAGCTGCCTTCACTCTGCAGCGGGGGATGCAGGAAACACGCAGACCAGCAACCTTGGTTCAAATCCCAGTTTGGAAATGGGGACAATGGTGGAGGGACGGTCACGGTGGTGGTGGGACTGGGGTGGAACATCGAATGCCTGTTACAGATGCATCAGGAAGAGTTCTGCAAAGCACGGTGTTCAAATAAAGCGTGTGGGGGGGGGGAGCGGGGGGATATCCCAGTTCAGCTGGTTTGCAGTGGGTCCCTTCTGTCCCCAGGCTGTCCCCTCACTGTGGCCTCAGTGCCTAGGAACAATAGTAGAACCACAGGGAGATTTCCTTCCTCGTGCTAAGCCCTAACAGAACTTACTGAGAGTAATGTAAGTCAGAGCGAGGCTAGTCTGCCTTGGGGGCGTGACCAACTGCTGACTGAGAGGGGCATGAGGGAACTTTCTGGGGAAAGTTCTGGGACTTTCTGGGAGATGCTTCGTGTCCCCGGGGAGTGGGTGGTGAGTGGGCACACAGGCACGGGCGTGGGAGCGACGTGCAAGTCAGTGAGCGACAAGCTGCCGCTCCCTGTACTGAAGTAAAACTGAAGAAGTTCCCGAAGGCCAGGGTCTGACAGCAGAGTCCCCTGAAACCGGCAGCATGGGTCAGGTGGGCGGGTCCCCAGAGCAGCCAGGTGGAGGCTCACCAGCGCCCTCCAGCCTGCCCTCCAAGCTCAGCGCAGAAGTCACCCCAGGCCCTGGTGGAGGCGGGTCCCTAGGGAGCCCCTGACTGAGCCCGGAGGCCCAGCAGCCGCCAGGTACCTGAGAGAAGAGTGGCCTGGGCCCCGTGTCCCCCACTCTGTTGGGCTGACTCAGCGGGGGCACAGTAAGCTGATGCCAGGAACCTCTCCAGACCTGGTCCCACTGTTCCTGGGTGGTCCGGGAGGGCACAGAGGTGAGAGGGGGACACAGAAAGGGGTTGGGAAGGATACTGGGGGCATTCGGGGATGCGTGGTCCCTCCAGCACCCGGGACTGAGGGGGAGCTCACCCTGCAGGTGGCGGGGGGGGCTTTCAGAGCTGCCCCTGGAACAGCAGTAGAGCCCTGGGGAGCAGTGGACGGGCTGTGGGTGACCCCGGCCCCTGCGCTCTGGGTACCACGCACTCTGCAGCCGGCCTGGTCCCTCCCCCCGGGTTTGCCGGAGATGCTGCTCCATCACCCGGCAGAGAAAATCCCTCAGCCCACCCTGGTCCCCAGCCCCTGCTCCCCGCCCCGCGCCCCCAACTTCCACCTTTCCGCTGGAGCGCCGGCGGCCAGGCGTGGGGGGGGGACTCACACTGCACGTCCACGCGGATGGACTTGATGGCCGGCACGCCCACGCCGTTCTCGGCCTTGCAGTAGTAGCGGCCGCCCTGCGTGCGCGCGATGCGCCCGATCCGCAGCGTCTCATTGAACACCGACGTCTCCTGGAACTTGTCGGACGCGCTGCCCGCGGTCTTGGTCCACCGCACCTGGCCGTGGAGGAGACGGGATTGGGTGGGCTTGTCAGCCCTCTCCTGCTCCTCTCACCCGCGCACGGGGCGAGGAAGGCCTGGGAACCGGCTCACCTGGGGCCGCGGGTGCCCTGTGACGAGGCACTGCAGCACGAGGGTGTCCCCCTCCCGGATGGTGTACACGCGCTCGCTCACGTTGTCCTCTTTGACCACACACGCCTGGCCCGCGTGCACGATCTGGGCCTGGGCTGGAGCTGGCGGGAGAGGCAGAGGGTCAGGGAAGGGTGGGCCTGGATAGGGCTGGGGCCTGTCTGGGTGCATCCCCGCTACCACCCCACCCCAGTCACCAGGTGTCTCCCTGGGCACGCCCACCCCACTGGAGTGGCCCAGGTGGTTCCTGGCATGTCACCCTCCGTCCCTCGCAGCAAGCCACCAGCCTGGTGAACGAAATATTTCCAGGAGTGACCCCTAAAAGGGCTGGAGCGATAGCACAGCAGGTAGGTCGTTTGCCTTACAAGCGGCTGACCCGGTCGACCAGAGTTCAATTCCTCCACCCCTCTCAGAGAGTCCGGCAAGCTACTGAGAGTATCTCGCCCGCAGGGCAAAGCCTGGCAAGCTACCCATGATGTATTCGATATGCCAAACACAGTAACAAGCATCACAATGGAGACGTTACTGGGCCCACTCGAGCAAATCGATGAACAACGGGAGGACAGTGACAGTGACTCCTAAGACCACCAAGTACCACTTGGGAATCCAATACCCCCACAGGGCACGGCCCACAGTGTCACTCAGTGACAGCACATACTCCATGAGGTCTGGACCTGATCCCCGGGCTCAGATAGCAGCAGTGGGGCTGGAGAGAGACAGGCACGGCCGACCTGGGTCTCAGGAGAGAGGCCTGACCCCACGGAGCTCAGACAACCCTCCAGGGGCCCGAGTGGAGCAGCCAAGGTACCTGCCTGGCGCACAGCAGACCCAGACGCAGCCCCCGACACGGCAATGCCCCTGCACTCAGCAGAAGTGACCTGAGAGCCCCAGGTGAGCCCCAGAGGGACTCGGGAAGAAGCAGTCCCTTTGCAGAGACGTGCTTCTTCCCCAAGCTGGCAAGGGCCCCGCGGTGAATGATGCTGGACCCTGTGCTGTGACATCACACGCCCTGGGGGCAGGCTGAGGACAGATCAGTTGAATCCCCTTTTCTGTCTGCCTGCTTCCCTCTGCTCTTTGGATTTCTCCTGAGATCATTTTCTCAGCAAATCATCCATATAATACCCCCCTACACACACACACACACACACACACACACCATCCAGGGTTTGCTACCAGAGCACCTAAAAGAACTTCAAAACCCCACAATGTTCCATCTGCCCTCACCCTAAGACATGATGCTTTCCCCGTCAGCCCTGAGCTTCTGCTCATCCTGCTCCAAGGCTCAGAGGTTCTGGCTGGGGCCGGAAGCGCTCAGATATGAAGGTCCTGATTGTCCCAGTGCCCAGAGCTAAGGAGGCAGAGTGAAGGTATGGCTGGGGTGCTGAGGGGGAGGACAGGGAGAGTCACAGCCTTCGCACAGGTTTGGCTGGTGGCCTTTCGTTTTGTTTTTAGTGAAGCAAAATAGGTTTTGTTTTTGTTTTTGTTTTTGTTTTTGCTTTTTGGGTCCCACCCAGCGATGCACAGGGGTTACTCCTGGCTCATGCACTCAGGAATTATTCCTGGAGGTGCTCGGGGGACCATATGGGATGCTGGGAATCAAACCTGGGTCGGTCGCGTGCACGGCAAATGCCCTACCCGCTGTACTATCGCTCCAGCCCCGCAAAATAGGTTTTATTGAGAGAAATTTAGAGATGGGGGAGGGAGGGAGGGGAGGAGAGGGAGAGTCAGAGAGAGTCAGAGAGAAAGTCAGAGAGAAAGAATCAGAGAGAGTGAGAGAGAAAGAGAGAGACAGAGAGAGAGAGAGTCTAGACATCCAAGCAAGAACACAGCTTCTCCTGTTCTCATTGTCTTAAGGGAAGGGCAGCCTCCAGCCCGGCAATGCTGGGGCTCAGGAGGGAGGCTCCAGCTCACACCTGTGTGCTCACAGCTGAGGCTCAGAACTGGGAGAGCTGCTTCAGCGCCTAGGGGTGACTAGTGCCCTTGCCCTACAGAAGGACACAGAGGTGAGCTGGTGTAGCTTCCTCCAGGCAGCGCCCCTGGGTGGACTCCCACCTCCTGTACACATCAATCCCCTCCACAGCAGCCAAGGACTCGGGCTCCAGGACTCTCGGCCTTCTGCCGATCAAAACCTGAGCTGCATTCAGCTGCGTCCAGCACGAGGCCCCGGAGGCCCTGAATGGCAGTGTCAGTCCAGTGAATGAACGCATTTTTCAGAAGCAGCCGTGGCCAGGGTCCTAGCAGTGCTGGAGGGAGCGCAGACCCAGGCACCCCCGGAGATGTCGCCTGCTAGAGGGACAATCACAGGGGTTCTGTGAAGGAAGCAGCTTTTGAACTGGCCGCAAGCCAGAGAGACTGTCCTGCCTGATCTAGTTCCCTATATCACAAGGTAAGCACTGGGCTTTCTCACCTCTGAGAGGGAGCGAACGTTCCCACCCTGAGAACCCATGGGATGCAACGACAGGCTGGGATGGAAGAGAAGTGTCTAGAACACTCTAGTATGTGCAACAGTGGCACAAGGAGTACTTAACAGGGCCTCTGCAGGCAGGCACAACTCGATCAGAGACAGGGAGGTTCTCGCAGGGCAGGAGCTGGGAATGAAGCCGACCATGTTTAAGCAAAGGATCCCTGCAAGCGGCAGTGGTTCTGCAGACGGGGACGCGGGCACCTCCTAACGGGGTCTGTCCTGCCCGTGTGCCACAGATGACAGCCGAGGCTAGGTGTCAGGAGGACAAATTGCCTGACCTTGGGCAAGTGGCAGACCTTCACAGCCTTCAGCCTCCCCAGGGGTGCGGAGTGAATTCCATGAACCCTAAGGTTCTTTCCAACACGCCCTTCCCACGAATGCTGTGATCAGCGCACATTCCTCCATGGGATGCACCCGGAGATCTGGGGACAGTCTGACGCAGCGCCCCCGTGCCCTGAAAACACATTATGTGCAGGAGATGGCGGAGAGAGCGGCGGCCACGTCTACAGAAGTCCCGCCCCCTTCATGGTGTGCAGATAAGACAGCTTGGGGGCTGCTGGGGCCACTGCAAGAGGCCGGGGTGGGGGGGGGGTGCATCCCAGCAAGGGAGATACTGATTTAACAATGGGAAATAAGCCGCAATCTTGGAGACTGTGACCTGCCCGGGGCCCAGTTCTGTGTTGTGATGGCAAGACTTGGTGACTGAGGAGAACAGAAGGGTGAGAGCGGGTCTCGCCCAGGGCCTGAATGGAGGGGTCACATGGCTCTGCCTGTTTCTGGAACTTGCACCCGAAGAGCTTACAGGCAAACATGTGCAAGCACTAAAGCCAGGAGTGCAGATCTGTGTGAGAGCACCAAACTGAGCACCACAGTTAACAGAGAACCGCCCCATCCCTGCCCCCCAGTTATTAAAACAGCAACAGCAATGAAGGAAGGGAAGGAGGGAAACAAGAGGTTGGCTGACTTCCTTTGATGAGGGAACAGTTAAGACAAGGTGACAGGACCACGTGGGGAGAGTCCAGTGTCCCCACAGGATAAGGAAATATCTCTCCCCCAGGATACAGCAATCTTACTGACAGAAACAAGTGTCTCTAACTTCCCAACAATAAGCTCAAGACCCCTCAAAGCCGCTGTGCTCATTATGGTTAAAGTAATTTTCCTTTTGCAAAACAGTATAAACCATTCTCAAAAAATTAGAAATTGAGCTCCCATTTGACCCAGCAATACCACTCCTGGGAATATATCCCGGAGAGGCAAAAAGGTACAGTCGAAATGACATCTGAACTTCTATGTTCATTGCTGCACTGTTCACAATAGCCAGAATTTGGGAAAAACCCGAGTGCCTGAGAACAGATGACTGGTTAAAGAAACTTTGGTACATCTATACAATGGAGTACTATGCAGCTGTTAGAAAAGATGAAGTCATGAAATTTTCATACAAGTGGTTCTACGTGGAAAGTGCCATTCTAAGTGAAATGAGCCAGAAAGAGAGGGACAGACATAGAAAGACTGCACTCATCTGGGGAATATAAAGTAACAGAATGGGAGTCGAACACCCAAGAATAGTTGAGATAAGTACCAGGAAGTCTGCTCCATGGCTTGGAAGTTGGCAGCACATGCTGGGGGAAAAGGCAGCTCAGATAGAGAAGGGAACACCAAGTAAAGGATGTTTGGAGGACTCACTCGGGATGTGAAATGCATGCTGAAAGTAGACTATAGACCGAACACGATGGCTACTCAATACCTCTGTTGCAAACTACAACACCCTTAAGGAAAGAGAGAGCAAAAGGGAATGCCCTGCCACAGAGGCGGGGTGGGAAGGGGTGGGGTGGGGAGGTGGGAGGGCTACTGGGATCGTTGGTGGTAGGGAATGGGCACTGGTGGAGGGATGGATACTCGATCATTGTACAACTGAAACCCAAGCACAAAAGTTTGTAGGTCTACAAATGTACCACATGGTGTTTCACTAATGAAAAAAAAAATCCGGCATCACAAAAATCAGTCCATCAAAAGGAGCACGGAGAAACCATTTTGGATGCAGCCTCACAGTGAGTAGAATGTTGCACAGACACTCACAGGGGAGCTACTGACAGACACACGAGACTGCTGAGTCCCCAGGCCCTTGAGACACACAGTGACAGCACCCGCCTCATGTGGTCAGCTATGAGAGGCCACAGTGGTGGCTGAGGGGTGGTGGAACATTAATTACCTGGAAAGACCCTAGAGGGTTTTCTGGAGAAAAGGTGGGAGCCCGTCTAGTGGATGGGAATGGTTTACCTCTTCATCTGAGAGGTAATTACACACCTGTCTGAAGTTATCTACTTAAGAGTTTATCATATTTAGGGCTGGAGAAAGAGTACAGGGTTAAGGCAATTGCCTGGCATGTGGCTGACCCTGGTTTGATCCCTGGTCTCCCAAACACTGGCAGGAGTGACCGCTGAGTACAGAGCCAGGAGTAAGCCCTGAGGACAGCAGGTTTGCCCATGCACTGCCCCCCACACAAATATTATATCTAATTTACATTTTATAAGAAGAAGCCAGGTGCAGTCTCCTCTGTAACCACGGTAACCCCACCTTTGCTGCTGGCAACTGAGGAGCCATCCCTGTGGCTGACCTCTTTCAGCTGTAAATTTGCCTCTG